GGTCCGGTCCGTGCCCCTGGGGCGGAGGAGAGGGCGGCGGGAGCGTCGGAGCTTGAGCGACCCGGATCAGCGCTGCCAGCCGGTGCGCTGGCGCTGGAAGCGGCTGAGGAGCGTGCGCGCTGGCCGGCGCTGGCTGCAGCAGCGCGGTGTGCTCCTGCCTTCAGCTTTGTTACAACTTCCAGAAAGTTTGGGGTGTTTGGGTTTTGGGTTTTTTGTTTTTTTTTTTGTTTTTCCTCTGGGCTGCTGATCTGTACTTTTCTGTCCCGATCCCTTCCCTTTCTTGCTCTGCTACCTGGCGCCTAGCGTGCCTTTGTTTCTTCTAGCCTCAATTTTGTCCTGCTTTCATGAAGCTTCTGCAAAACAACTTGCAGTACGTATCTTAACAGGCTGGGACTAACAAAAAAAGAAATTCCTTTGGTAATTGCCCAGAGATCTTTTGAAATGCTACTGTATGTTTTCTCTCTCTCTTTTCTAGATTATTTATGCAAACCTGAGGACAACATTTACAACATTGACTTCACCAGGTTTAAGATCCGGGACCTTGAAACTGGCACAGTGCTGTTTGAAATTGCAAAGCCATCTGCTTCAGGTATGTCATGCTAACATTGCAGGGAGGCTAGAGAGACTCGGAGAGCTGAGAAGTTGCAATGCAGGACCCATGCAAACCAAGCAGAAAGGTCCTTCGATATGTCCTGGTGACTAAATTCCTCTCCTTTAAGCATAGGGCTGTGTTCACCTCTGCTGAGAAACTTGTTGTCATAAAAATGTGAAGCGATTATCATGCGATGGGGGAGTACTATCAACTGCAAATCTTCCCTTGCTGGCTGGTTATGGTACAGAGTTTCTTTCATGTGCTTTGGCGCTTGTGAGGGGGGATATCCTGTGAGGTTGAGGGTGGTTTCGGCTCCGGAGGCACCAAGGCTGTGCCAGCTGTCACAGCAGATCTTTTCTTTATTACTTAGTGTCAGTATGAGTCTTAGACCAACTATTAAACACCTTTATGTTCAGTGCCTAAGTAATAGCCAGCTTGTCCTGATAACACCCGCTAGCCAGTATTACCTTACCTGTACGCTATTAGCAGAATAAGTCTGAGCTGGTGCATTTTCTAGAGCAAGATGACGAGGACGAAGACGACAACAGTGAACTGGACGCTAGTGCAGGCCGCTTTGTTCGTTACCAGTTCACCCCAGCATTTCTCCGTCTTCGGACTGTTGGTGCAACGTGAGTATAAGTTCACCGAAAGAAGGGAGAATCAGATGTTTACAAAGTGTCACTTGACAGTTTATGACAAAACTGAGTCAAAGGCTAGAGAGGACCCATCTTACACTACAAATATCAAAGTCTCTCTTTCTGGAATGATCTGTTGGATTCTTGTGTAGCCTCGGGTCCAAGGCTCTGTTCTTCCCAATAGGAAGAGAGGTATGTCGTCTTAGCTGTTTTTTTCCTACTTTTTGCATACAGAGTGGAATTCACAGTGGGAGAAAAGCCAGTGTCAAACTTTCGAATGATTGAGAGACATTACTTCCGAGATCGCTTGCTGAAGAACTTTGACTTTGATTTTGGCTTCTGCATCCCCAGTAGCAGGAACACATGTGAACACATTTATGAATTCCCTCAGCTCTCAGAAGACCTTAGTGAGTATCTCCTTTTCCACACTGAGTTGTGTTTTGTTTGTGCGTGTGCATATGCTCATTTTTCCCCCCCCTCTACTTGTGAAAGAAGTTGGGACTGGGATGGGGGGGACAGGGATAGATACAGGTTCCTGGTTTAAGCTGTGTGTAATCTTGACTGAATTACAGATTTGTGCTGCAAATTCTCCTTCTTTGAAAATGAAAGCCTAAGACAACCTGTGTTGTCAAGTCACAGGCTGCAACAACCGATCAGAGTCACAGGGCTGACATGCCTAACAGTGTAGCCCAGAAGATAACAAAACCCTGAAAAAAGGTTCCCTTGGTAGCCACGCATCTGTTTTCAGCACTTGCTTGTTAGGACTTGAGCCTCCTGCTTTGGAACAGAACTGGCTCTTCTCTGAGAGGTGTGTTTTTGAGCCTACCAAGATCTCTGCAAATATACATTGCGCAGGGTATGTTTGACCTCAGGGGGTGGATAGAGCAGGAGCACGTGGGCCCTTCTGTGGCTGCCTAGGTGCGGGAGGAGGCGCAGAGTTTGTACCCCGCCTGTGTACGTGTGGGGAGTGCCACCGCTTTTTCGTTTGCGGATTGCAACCTCTCTGCTTACAGGCGTGATTGCTGCTCTGCTCTAGTGGTGGCTCTGACAGTTTCTAAGGTCGTCTTGTGTGAGATTACTCCATCCCCCTTTGTTTGCTTTTGACAGCACTTGTCCTGTAAATAGGAAGAATAGGAAGGGACAGGCTAGAGCTTTTGAAGTGTGCTCAGCAGAGCAGTTTGCTTCTCTTACTTGGGTAGAGCAGAGCATCAGCCTGGTAAATCCAGCAGAGTGGCAGAGTCCTTTTTACTCTGACTTTGTGCTGTCCAGTGGAACGTGGCAGGCTTTTGAATGTAATTGAGCTTTCTCTTTCACAGTCCGTCTGATGGTTGAAAATCCCTATGAGACCCGCTCAGACAGCTTTTACTTTGTGGACAACAAGTTGATTATGCACAACAAGGCCGACTATGCTTACAATGGAGGACAGTAATCATTCTATGTCCACTGGATGCTGTGCTGCCGTTAACTGTTCCAGATGTCCAGGAGTGGACTGGAGTTGCCGTCTCGTGCAACAAGGCTTCTTGCCAAACCTTTTCTCCTTGCATGAGGCTGAAAACATGAAGCAAAGATGACAGCTCATGAAAGTAAAGGAAATCTCCCTGCAACACTTCTCTATCCGACGCTCAACGTATCCTGCCTCTCATTCTCTGTTTCTGGTTACCTTCTGGTACCTTGGTTAGGTCATGGGTCAGAGGCACTGTTAGAAAAATATTGCTGTTACAGTCTTTATAGTAGGTTGCACTTTTAGTGCTTCTGCTGTTTCACCTGTTGGGTAACTGCCCTCTTTCAAGAGGTCAGATTGTTTGGGTAAGCTATTTCTTAGCAGGAAAATTTTCCCCCTCCAAGTAGCCAGTGACGCCTGAAGAGCAGATCTCTTCTTCAGTTGGATAGATCATCTCTTTAGTGCACAGTGGTTTAGTTTGTAGCATGGCTGAGATTGCTTTTTAGGGTGCATCCCAATATTCTCCAGTGGGAAAGATAAGAGACTAATTCAGCTTCTAAGCAGTGTAGGAATCTTCCTTCTGCCTCCAGGGGCCTGAGGTGCCCCTGAGAACAGTTCAATCTGTATCTTGCCGGAGATTTCACTAATGTTACGAGAGAGGGAAAAAGGGGCTTTATCCAGGTTGGTCATCGAGTCAGTCTGATAGCATTTCTATTTGAGCTTTTGTGAGCAAACTGTTGAATTTTGGAGCTCAGGGGTCAGCCTTAGACCGGAAGTTAATCTCACTGTATTTACCATTTCTCCCGCTTCCCTTTGTGTAGGAATCTTGGCTCCTGCTACAGAATGTATTGCTTTTTAGATCGACAGCACATTGTCAGTCTAGTTGGGGTGAAGGGGAGGCGTCAGTCTAGTGGGGCTTAGAGGAAAAAGGGAGAATGTGAAAAATCACTTGAAAAATGTGTAGGAAGCAGAGCTTCCTAGGCTTCAATCTCTGTATACTTTTAAACCTGAATGATCTGTCAGAGGTGCTGGAAGGAGAGATGGTGGTGTTACCAGCTCATTTGCTTTGTTTCAGTTGAGGAATTAGTAGCTAAAAGCTTCCCGGGTCAGATCGCTCAGTCTTACGGAGTGGGATTCTTACAAAGTGAGAATTTATATGATTCTCTTTCTAATTGTTTGAGTTTCCATCACTGCTTTGCCTACTTAGCTGCTTATTTATGGCTTAGGAAGTTCTGCTGAGTTAGTTACTGCCAGACCAGAGGGTGTATTTCACAGCTGCGTTTGGGATCTGGCGATAGGAAATAGCATCATGCAGTGGGAAGAGGAGACCCATGTCTTCCCGGCAGCCGTGCTGGAGCCCAGCTCCTGACCATGCAAAATCTCAACTAACAAAGCCCTTTTCTGCCTATTTTGCTGGCTCTCAAGACTGGCATTTTTCCTGTCCCCAGCTGGGCTGGTCAGTCGTGTCTCTTGTACGTGGGAGTTAGGTTCCATCTAGACTAGAGGCGTTTGGTGGTATTAGTTCCACTTGTTCCTTGAGATGGTTGAAATCTAACTCCTTGGTGGATACAGTTGGTTACCTGTTGTGTTGAGAAAGATTCAGCATGGTTTATGTTTTAGCAGGATTAAGTGGGGTGGGCATCACAGCCCAGAGCCTGTTAATGCGTAGAAAGCAATAGGAAACCACTGCCTTTACCTTGCAAATTAATGATGTTAACTTTGGCGTAGAAGATCAGCTGGCATCAGGGTAAGCAGTGAAAGTATGTGGGGTGGCAGCCATGAAAGAATCTCCAGCTCTTGGGAAGATACTTAATTATGATTAACCACAACAAATGACCTGTTCTGGGTGGAGCATGAGTCATGAGCAACCACAACAAATGTCTTGGGAATGCGGAGGGGCAGGGTCTGCGTGGTTGAAAGATGAAGAACAGTTCTGCTACCATCGATCCCCTCCAGCATCTCCGAAGGCGCTTTGGCAATCCTGTTTAGTTATTTCAGAATTAGTTAAAGCTGCTTGTAAGGTGGAGCTGGAGATGCCTCTTGCATCTCCAGAGAGATGCAGATGAGAGCTGGAGATGCCTCTTGATTGTCTTCAGAAGGCCTCGTGCCGTGCTGGTGAGGTGGGAAACATTTGTTTTGATGGAGAACAGGTAGTTACTTGTGACAAGGCAGAACTGCCTGGAAGTGTGTTTTTCATCCTGAAGTGTTCCGAGATGCTCAGGATAGTGTCTGAAGAGCCTGCTAGTTATACCCTGGGAAATTTTAGCATATTGAGCTGAGTTTGTATGTAGTATAAATCCAGGTGCCTTTAAATGTTACTTTTATCTCATTTTCCATACAAAGCAACCTCTTGCTTTTTTTATGAGTGTGATGATCCCCATCTGTTTTCTATGTCACTGTGTAAAGGTTCTTAAAAGGAAGATAGACTGTTGCCAGAGTGAGCAGCAGAAATTACTGTGGGAGCTGTTAGCAGTAGTCAGTGTGCAGCTCTGCACGGTCGGGGTATTTGTAGGGGTGTGGGTGCCATCTAGCCGCTGCTTTGCAGAATGCGACTAAGAGCAGGAGAGCACTCTGCCCGATGTAAATGAGGCATTTGATGCTTATAGGAAAGCGGATTCCTGTCTTTAGTCATTATCTCTGCCAGTAGCGATGAGAAAAAAAGCGTTGAAGCAGTTGCTTTCCCATTGGTGAATGTACCAGCTATTCAGCCATAAAAAAAGGAAAACTGGAGGAAAATCGGAAGACTTGCAGGCAGCGCTAGCACCCCTCAGTTTCTAGGTGAATTTGCTTGCTTTGCCAAATTAGAAGGTCTTTGCCCAAAAAGCATGCTGCAGAAAAAAAGTCCCTACAAGAGGGCAACCCAGCACTGAAAAATTTGATTGTAGTCCAGAAAGTCAGGGATTTCCAAACTCCTGTCCCCACGTCGGCCGCTTCGCTAAGGTTCCTTTTCTCTTAGATGCTTTCTATAAAGTGTCTTCTCTTTGTGGCAGGGATGATGTCTTTGGTAAATACGGTTTAACAGAGCATCTTCCTTCTGGATTGTGTGCTCTGATGCTTTAATGATGGGTCAAAGCTACTCATGCCAGTTGAGCTAGGAAGATATTCCAGTGGGATCTCATCCTTGTGAGGTGGATGGTCTGTCCTAGCCAGGTGCTGAACGCAAGGGAGATGCTTTCAGTGTCAGTTAAAGTTTGAGCAAGGGAAAAGGTATCTGTGCAGACAGCTTCTCTCAGGTCGCGTGCTGAGTTGGAAAGAGAAAAGAGCTGGGATCATACTGTGTTCTGCTATAATAAAAAAAGGGACCAAACCCACAAACTCATGTTAAATGTTTCCAGTATTTGTCCTCTTAGGACCAGGACCTCTTTTTCACATTTTTGAGGCAAGCGCTTTGGATCCATGCAAGCAAGCTTCCTGGACAGCTATTTTCATGATTGACTGAGGAATACATATTGCACCTTGTGAAGGAAGGTCATCTCTTGTCGTATGGACTGGGTACTGCTGTCCCTGTCCTCCTTTTTTGGTAGGAAGTGTCTTCCTTTGTGTGCTTTCCGTAGGATTTTCAATGTCTCCTGCTGCAGAGAAGCAGCAGCAGCCTCCTCTCTGGTGCTTGAGGATGTTTATTCCGCTTATCCGAGGGTTCAGGAAGAATAAAACAAGTGTTCAGAAGGCAGAAATGAATGAAGAAGGTGGTGATGGTGAAGCAGTAAGGTCCAAACGTGGTAACTCTACTTCTCAGCTCTGTGTTCCATTACATCCTCTTCAGCTGTTTCCCAGTGTTTGCCTTCTGCCCTGCTGTCCTGTCACATCAAGCTACCGAGCCTGGAGCGTGGCCCAGTGTCGGGTGTAATCCTCGGACTTGAGCGCTGCGATCTCCCCGTAGCTTTATGATGAGGACAGGGCTAAGGGACAGCTGCCTGGCGGAGTCATCGCCTCTTCCTCTGCAGCAAAGGATGAAACGAACACCAGCAAACGCCATCTCCGCCTGCCCGGATCTCAGTGCTGTTACAGAACATGCGTTTGTATCTCTCACAGTGTGGCCTTTGGGC